TTTTTTTTTTTTTTTGGTTTCCCACCCGGTGTCCGGTACCCGCATTGGAGCTCGACTATATCCGGATTCGCGCCGCGTAAGGCCCCATTCGGGGGGAAGCGCTCCCTACCCCCCCTAATGTTGGGCCACTATGTTATGATATCCACGCTCAAGATGTCCAGGGCTTGGGGTGGGGGGTGGGGTGTCTATTTATATGGTTCTGGGAAATCTATCTTCACCTGAGTTAGACCCAAAGATCACTTTCTTTACAAAATAGCTTTTTAGGTTGAGTTTGACCCAAGGTCCACTTTCTTTACAAAAAATCGCGAACCTCTTGTTGTAAGAGGCAAGAGTAGAAGAAAGGATAGAAAGAGTGCGGTAGCAGAAGATAGAATTATTACAACAAATACAGAAACAAGATGAAGTAATGGGGCTTGTGTGAAGGCCTTAGCCAACTTTTTGTCATTCCATTTAAGGAGTCCTAGGAGGGTATTAGGAATGATGTGGGCGAGAACCATTTCTGTGTGAATTTATTTTCCTTTATCACAAAAGAATGTAAATTTAGATTTTCATTTCCTTGTGGGGATCCAGATCTTCCTTGTACTATATAAGTTTGATTAAATATTATTTGGGTAGGTGATATATATATGTATATGTGATCTAGTTCTATATAGTGCAGCAGACAACGTGAGTAAACAACCACTCTTCTTTCAACGCAAACTAGCTTTTTGCTATTTCTCCCTATTTAACACCCTGTTTCCTGTTTTGTTTCTTATTAGTATCTCCAAATGTCTGTTTAATGATGATTTGTTTATGTTCACCTTTATTTGTAATTTCAGCGGGAAAAAAAGAATTTACAGGACTTAAGTGGCGTTTATGTATTTAATGTTCCAGAAAGAGAGGATCTGGATAGACCAACGGCCAGGCTAATTAAAGAATTTGATCGAATAGAAGGTAAATGTTCATATTGGTCTCTAATTTCGGTGCAAGTTTTTGGTGGGTGTATGGTTATGCAACTATCTCTGTTTAGACAAGATTCTAAATTGGTCGTCAAAAGCCTAGCCATATGTTACATCATTGCAGTCAAACTCACATAATAAATCATCTTTTTTTGTTTTCTTTTATTTTTTC